AATAGATGCAATACATATTTTAGATATGAAATCTTGAGAATTAGCTTTTGTTATTTATTTAATTATAATGTTATTTCATGGCAAGTTTTCTCAATATTCTTACCTGTTTTCAAGAAAATCAAATAATGAAATATTTTAGGTCAATGTAAATTGAAGAAATTAAGTTAAATAACTAAGATTGACTCTACACTTGAGAATGTCATTAAATTGATACCCATAGCATTATTTACTGGTTACAGAAAAAGATTACAGAATTTTGTCTGTGTATATAAGCTTACGTATTTTCTCAGCCTTTGATATTGTTATACAAACATTTTCTCTTTTTTATTTTTAAATTGTGATAGAATTTTTGCCCATTTTCTGTTCTTTTATATATTGAAATGCAGCATTCTTCAATAAAATTATTCAATTCAAATTACCATTCAGGTCCTAACCTTAGGAGAGTGAGACTCAGAAGTGGAAATGTTAATAAAATAACAACCACAGAACATATATTTGGAAATTTTAATTTCAGAGAGTAAAGTACACATCATTATATCAAAACTCAAAAGTATATCCACTTCTTATGACTGAACAATATGAATGTGTGCTCTTTCCTGCTGGGAAGACGTGAGCATCTCAGTTTCACACAGGGTCGACTCATGCTTTTACTAAGAAAATGTTTTAAAATATTCTCAGTCTCCAATGCCTGTTGAATTCTAGAAATATGATCGAAATCCACAAAAACAAAAAAAAAAAAGATTTTTACCAAACTCATGTTGCATTTTCTTGCTTTGACTTCAAAACAAAGGTTTAAACATGTAGTGAGAAGCTGTGCATTGGTTTAGAGGACTTTGATGAAGTTCCAAAAAAGCCAACATTAAAAAAATACTCTAAGATATATGGAATAAGAAGGTATGTTTAGATATGGTATTTAAGAGTAAATTTTATCATCAATGAGACGATTTCTAGTAGATGGTTAATTCTTTGAAAATTGTCTGCCACTCATCTCTGATTTTTTTTTTGTTATTGTACCAGGAATTGAACTCAGGACCTTGCTAGCCAAGCAGAGCTATGCTCCTAAGCTATATGCCCACCTCATTTCTGATTTTAAGTGTCATAAATACCTAGTAGGCTTTGCCTCTATAAACTACCATAAGAGTAAATTTGATAGCATATTTTGTGGAGCTACTGTTTTAAATTTGTGACAGTTATACTGTGGACTTTATCACTCATTAAACAAATTCAGATAGGGACAAATTCAGATGCTGAAGGAAAAAAAAATATTTTAAGTAGTGGTTACCTTAGGGAAAAAAAGAAAAATTGGAGAGGTTGATAAAAGAGTCTGTAGTATATTATAGTTTTACACTACACAGGAGATAACAATAACGTAATATATTTTTAAGAAAACTAGAAGAGAAAGTTTTGAGTGCCTTTGCCACTAAGAAATGATAAGTATTTGAGGAGATAAATATATTTAATGATAGTTAATCTATGAATGTGTATGTATCAAACATCACACGGCACCTCATAAATATGTAAATCTTATCTTTTTATTTATCAAATGTACAAAAAAGGAGAAAATAAATTCTAAAGAAGTCTACAAGTAAACCACTAACAATTAGACTTACTAAAAAAGGTAGAAAATCATACCAGGTATCTACATATCCTCACCTGTTTATGAGGCAAACCCATGGGAGGTATTTTACTCATTGAAATTTTAAGTCTTCAAAGAGACTTTATGGGATTACTGGAAGACATTACATTATATTGAAGGTATGTTAAGGGGTAATTTTAAAAAAGATTTTGATGCCTATAAAACATCTTATTGTCTCACTAGTGTGAGAAGCTAAACAGGTAAATATGATCTAAAATGTACAATAGATACTGTGAGTTTGGGAGCAATGGCTCAAAAGAAAAGAGAAACTGTGATGCAGGAACAGAGAAAGCAAAAAAGGAAAAAGAAAAGAAAAAAAAATATATATATACACTCAATATAGTTACAATAGTTATAGAGTTAGTTTCTTTTAGTTCACTGAAAAGAAAGATTTGTGCTAATATTGTTTGGAAAACATTTCATGCCTATATCTTGTAATCTGAGTAACTACTATGAAGATAATAATACAATGTATTGATTATTGTTACTCCCCTATAGGCTTGTTTTGAAACTCTGGTTATTTTTATTTTTTCCTCTTTAAAATAAAAATAAAAAAAATGAAACTGTAATTCCCCATGCTTTCTGAAATATATAACCTGTGTCCAATTTAAGCTCTATCATAGCAGTGATGTTTCAAATGACCTTATGTTTAAGCAGAGCTTGGCTTATATAAGTCAGAGTTTGGGGGCAAATGTGAACATACAGACTAGGACAATTTTTCATACCTAAAAATTACTAAGAATTTGAGGTTCATCAGAGGAGACTTTAAAGCAGAGTTGTAAAGTAATGGAGTGGCCTGTATGTGGAAAAATATTGTACACGTAGGTAAAAATGTAGTGAATATATTTTAAATCTATCTGAGGAGAACTACAAAATTTTGGTGAAGAAAATCAAAAGACAACTAAATACACAGAGAGCTATACCATGTTCACATTTATAAAGATTCAATATTTTCACATTGTCAGTTCTTCCCATGTTAATCTATAAATTAACTTGATCTAGATTCAACAAGACTCAAATCACATCATTTTCATGATGTAGACAAGCTAATTATTAACATGTACCCAATAAAATCTTGACAGAGAAAAAAGTTGGAAGATTTATATAATTCTATCAGAAGACTTATTATCAAGGCATAGTAACCAATTCAATGAATTACTGGAGAAAGAATAGAGAATATCTCGATGGGATGAAATGGAATAGAAAGATCATTAGTATACAGTTTGTACATATACCAAAACATTGCATGCCATTCCATAAATATGTGTAACATCCACATTAGTATAAGCAGCTGGTCTTTGACAGAAGCTAAATGTTTATAGCTAAGTGCCTTGGGAGCTGGATTTTGATTGGAAGATGTGGGTTACTGGAGACATAACCTGGAAGGGAATAAATGTGTCTCCAGTTTCTCTTCTCATTTTCTTCTTCCTGGCCACAATGAATTTAGCAGTTTTCCTGCACCCACGGCTTTCCATCATACCATTTCTGTCTTGGGGCCAACCAACGTGAACTGTAATTGTGAGCCAAAATGAGCCTATTCTCCCTTTGTTATAGGTGTTGGGTATTTTGGCACAGTGACTAAAACAGTGGTTGATGTCTAAGTAAAAAATAATTTTTACAGTAAAGATATATTGCTATCAATTCCCCTAAAGATACTTGCCCTCACTTTGAACAGAGTTATCACATTGTTTGTGCCACTTTCTGAAACAAGTCTGGAAGTTCTAATTTGAAAATGTCTTTAATAAGAGCTATAAAAATTTCAGTGATTCCTGCAGCTGAGTACCATCCAACAAAAATGTGGGATAATGAAATTTTATGATGCATCCTTATCCTCATGCACTTTGTTCAGTATATCTGGAAACCACAGATTTCTGGCTATTCCTTAAAGTCAAAATGATCATAACACGTACGTGTTTGTATTGATTTAGGATACTGAGGCAGCCACAAAAGACCAACTAAAGATGTGTAGGAAAGTGTACTTCAAAACTACTTCAGAAAGTGGACAAAACAATGTTATAAGTGTGTTTGAAATGAAAGGCAGTGTTTTAAATATGATTAACTACAATGTTTCATTTATTATAATTTTTTAATTTAAGCATTCATTACAGTTTTAGATCATACTTCACATTTTAACTAGCTGTATTAGAAATACAATATTTTCCTGATCATTCATATTGCTTTATAACAATTGAGTCATAAGTAATGAATAAAGAAAATGCCATCTGTGAGGTTTATAGAGAATACTTTGAGTCCTATACTATACTCAGTTACAATTTCTTACAAGGAAACAGATGATCACTAAATGACTTTTAAAAAGATTACTATGGCAAATATCCATAAAATTTAATAATATTTCAGTTGTAAAATAGGCACAATTATAATCTTATCAGAAATTAAGTGAAGTAACTGATAGCACTGGATTATCTTTGAAAATGCATTCAAAAGACAAAATTGAAATTGCACATTAAACACACATTGTTGTTGTTTTTGATATATTCCTCTTGAGACTAGCATAATTAAGTGATATCATTGATGTAATCCCTGTTGACTCTAAAAGGAATAAAAGCACTGTGCTTTCTGTCATTATGCCATAATTTGAAGATGTAGCAAGTCCAGAAGTTCAAAAAGAAAAAGTGAGTTTACTTGTGGTTCTAAGTATGTCCTCATTATGTGGCGTTCCTATAATATTGCATAAATGCTGCAGAAAAGAGATTCTGTTTCTTTTAGTTTTCTAAAGATTAGCTGCCTAATCATTGGCTTGTTATGGTCACACAAAAATGAGTAAAAAATTTTTTGTAAAGTTATAGATAATAGCTGGTAATATATTCCATTTTAGGAACTTTAGTATGCATAGAAGTTTGCAGAATTAAGATTAGAATATAGCACTTTTATATTCTTTGCTATATTTATGTTTTACATCACTCCTTTATCTTATCATGTCTTCATAACTAAATAACAGCTTATATAATTAATTTATAGTAAGATATAAGAATAATGAGAATCCAGAACTTAGAAGTCTATTTTCCTACAAATTTCTGTAGGAATCTACAATTATTTAAAAGGGGGAGAAAAGTTTCACGAATTTTAATTGGGTATTTATTATGAAAATGTAATAGAGAAATTCAGTTGTCTAGGTTTCATCTCAAACCTTTGGTTTTAGGAATTTTTTTTTTTTTTTTTTTTTTTTTTTGGTACCTGGAATTAAACTCATGACCCTGTGCTACCCAGGCAGGGACTCACGCCACTGTGCTAAACCCCTGGCTCCAAACAACTGCTTTTAGAAAAGCTCTTTTTCTGAAGATTGATAACTGACTTACATGACTGAATTCATAAGCACTATCCACCTTCAGTGTTATCTTTGCAGATGGCTAACTTTGTGCCCATGATGAGTGGAAACAAGTCTCTTTGCACTAAATTCACATTTGTGGCTTTTTCTTCTTTAGCTGACTTACAAATTGTACTCTTCATCATTTTCTTAATAATGTACTTATTTACTGTGGGAGGAAACATCACAATCATCTGTCTGATCTGGGTCACCCCTTCCTTGCACACTCCTATGTATTTCTTCCTGATGAACCTTTCCTTTCTGGAGATGTGCTACATCACCAGTGTAGTGCCTCAGATGCTGGTGCACCTGCTAGTGGAGAACAAGACCATAAGTCTGGCGGCCTGTGCAGCACAGATGTACATATTTGCCATCTTGGGACTGACAGAATGCTGCCTTCTAGCAGCCATGGCTTATGATCGCTTTGTAGCTATTTGTTACCCATTGCATTATACTCTCCGGATGAGCCCTCCTGTCTGTTTGAAATTGGCTGCAGCATCTTGGATCACTGGGATGGTGGTAGAATCATCACAGATCAGATGGATCTTCAGTCTGCCTTTTTGTGGAACAGGAAAGATTGAGCACTTCTTTTGTGACATCATGCCTGTAGTTAAACTGGCTTGTGTGGATACTTCCCACCATGAGATTGTGATTTTTGTTGTTTCTGTCCTCTTTATTATGAGTCCTTGTTTTCTCATTCTGTGCTCCTACATACGCATTGTCTTAGCAATACTAAGAATCCCTTCAGCAGCTGGCAGACACAAAGCTTTCTCTACATGTTCCTCTCACGTCCTTGTTGTTTCTCTGTTCTATGGCACAGCCTTGTTTACTTATCTCCAACCCAAGAATGCACACACTCCAGACACAGACAAGGCCACTGCACTCATGTTTACGTTGGTCACACCTGCTCTGAATCCTGTCATTTATACTTTGAGAAACAAAGAGGTGAAGGAAGCCTTTCGCAAGGTAATGCATAGGGACTGTCTTAGACAAATGCACTGATCTAGTGCTTGGTACTAAAAATTTTACCCCTGTGCAGAGAGGTTATCCAAGGTTTTATGACTCTACCAGTGTATACTTTCATTGATAGCTTTATACCCTAGGAACCAGAGAACATTTGTGTTTCTTTCCTCTTTTTCGATTATGAAAAAATGAATTATGGAGTAGGATGATTCAACTTACTCATTCATTCAAATTCATTCAAATATATTTCCTGAATATCCTAAGTAGTAGCTGTCATTTTCTTCTTTTGCAGTGGAGATATTATGAAGTTTTGTATGTTTCATACCATTTTATGAAGAAAACAAAATAGTCTTCTTGAGAAATGAAACAAGAAAAAAAGAACATTAAGAAATTCTTTTGCAGTATTAAATGTAGAATTTAACTTCTTAAGTAGATTATATTCCCTTCATTATTCTGTCCTACATATACTTTACTATTCATACATCCAAAATAATCAATATTTTGTAAACAGCAATGAGTGATGTACATGTTTGCTTAATTTATAATATTTGAATTGTAAATCTATTATAGATATAGTTTATCCACACTAAACTAGTAACTTTGCTTATATTCATTTATATTTTGCTGTTATTTTCTACAAATAATGATTAAGAGAAAATTTTCCTCATATCACTGGTATTACACTTGTTGTGAACCCTCTTTAGGTATAGTGGTTTCAATATAAATTTCTTTTGGCAATGCCCATGTTTTCAGCTCATTAGTGATATCATTTTTATTCTTTTAATATAATGAAAAAGACTTCCATAAGAGATGAACTCAGTTATTTAAATAAACGTTGTTTTTGTTTGTTACTCTTATTTTTTATTCAATACTATTCTTTTAACAACTACTATATAAGACAGGTAGTAAGTTAGATATTAGAAATATAATGTTTTGTATGACAAATTTGGGCTAGATTTCATGAAGATTTGAGCTCAATTGGGAGAAATATTAAATATATTAACAACAAAAGCAGAAAATATTCATTTTTTTTAAGGTGACTACTAGAAATGGCCTTTGGTAGGACTGAATGTCCTACTGCCGTGGCACTGGATCTTGAAATGAAAATGTGTGGCACTGGATCTTGAAATGAAACGTTAAAGGAGTTAGGAGGTGATGGTCAGTAAATTCTATCAGTTTTCCAAATAGAACTTAATTGTTGTATGTGTTATATTAAAAGAGGATGCAGTATAGATATGTATCATAAAAACTGGGTTAAAATGAAGATAATCGTTATACTTCTATAATTATTTTCTCTTCATTTGCTACCTTTAAGGAGTACAAGGATGGTTCTGAAAGGATAGAGCAAGAGCTGTGCAACATACACAAGAAGAGACAAATTGTATCTTATCAATATTGTTATATTAAAGTTCAACTTTCTACTCAACTACTGACTTATTTATATTTTTGAAATTATTACATTTCTTAGAGTAACCTGCACAAATATACATGTAATGTCATACAAGACTGTCCTTGATAATGTTAACATGTTCACATTGAATGTGACTATGTGAATTACTTTTGCAAAATTATGAAACCAGAGTGTGTTGTGATATTCATCTGAAATCACAAATTAATTTTCTTTAATGGATTACTATATGTCTAGCAATTGTGAATCTACTTTTAGATACAATTTAGGATTCTACATGCCCTATCTTCTTACTGCATCTCCATTTATCATAGCAGAACATTATATCATATTGTCTCTTTCTGACTTTGAGATGTAATGAACTTAATGAATCCCTCTCATACACACAAAGACCCCCACGCAGAGCCATACCCACACAATCACAGTGGGCTAACATTTGCCAGTCATCATCGGGTGTCTGATGTATATAGTTTGCTTTCACTTGCAAACACTTTCTGCTCTGCAAAACCTAATAGAGGACTTATCTGAAATATATCACTTAAAGAGCAACAAAGAAAAAAAACATATGATCGTATCAGAAAGACTTTTGACAAAATCTGACACCCTTTCATAACAACAATTTTTAAAAGTAGGTGTAGAAGACCTTTACCTAAAGCTGATGAAAGTTGTGCATGACAAAACAATGACCAATATCAAATTACATGAGAAAAATTGAAAACATTTCCCGTAAAATCAGGAACAAATTAAGGATACCTACTATCATCATTCCTGTTAAACACAGTACTTGAAACGTTATATAGGGCAATCAGGCAAAACAAATAAGTAAAAAGGATAGGCATAGGAAAGGAAGAAATAAAATTATCATTATTTGAAGATGACATGATATTCTCCATAAATTTTTAGAACTTCCATAAAAAACTCTTAGAATAACCAATTTCAACAGTGTAACAACAATTAAAATACAGAATCAGTAGCAGTAATGTACACCATTAATGAACTCAATGAGAAAAAATTAGAAGGATAATACCAGTTATAATAGTACCAAGAAAATTAAATATATAAGTATTATCCTTGCCAAGGAAAAGAAAGAATTATATTAAGAAAATTACAGTATTCTGAAAAAGGAGATTGAAGAAACATCAGACATTGAAAAATGTCTCCTCTTCCTGGATAGTCAGAATCAGTGTTTTCAAAATGGCCATACTTGTAAAATTGATCTATAGATTCTATAGTATCTCAATCAAAATACCAATATTCCTCACAGAACTAAAGAAAGCAATCTTAAAATTCATATGACCCCATAGAAGGTCCAGAATATCAAAAGCAATCCTGCTAAGCAGGACAAAAAGGGAGGCATCAAAGTACCTGACTTGAGGTTGTGCTACAAAGCTGCAGTGATTAAAAATGGCACAACATTGGCCCCAAAACAGACATGAAAAAACAAAACAAAATAGAGGATTAGAAACATACCTAGACACATTCGGCTATTTGATTTTTGTCAGAGTGGCCAGGAACATATGCTGGAGGAAAGATAACCTATTCAACAACTGCTGTTGGACAAATTGGCAATTTGCAGGAGACTGAATCTTGACCCATACGTCTCATAGTGTACTAAACCAAAATCAAAGGGATCAAAGATCTAAACGTTTAAGCAGAACCAATGAACTAAAATACAAAACAGGTGAAACACTTTAAGTCATGGGTCTAGGCAACAACTTTCTTAACAGAATTTCAATTGACAAGAAATAGCAGTGAGAATCAACAAATGTGATTATATTAAAGTTAAAAGCTTCTGCACAAAAATAGTCAAATGAAAACCTACAAATGGGTAAAATTTTTGCCACTTATTCTTCAGAGAGAGAGAGAGAGAGAGACAGAGAGAGAGAGACAGAGAGAGAGAGAAAGAGAGATCTAATATCTAGAATATACAAATAACTAAGATAATTAGCACTCAAAATAAAACACCCAAATGAATAAATGAACAAGTGAAATAATCATCCACTTCTCAGAAGAACTACAACAGCCAATAAATATATGAAAAAAATGTTGAACATCTCTGGCCACTAGATAAATGCAAATTTAAAAAATGTTAATATTTTATGTTACACAAGAAACAATGGCCATCATCAAGAAATCAAGGAATAACAAATGCTCATATGCTATGGTGAGAATGCAACCTTCCTGGATTGTTGGTGGGGATGTAAACTATTACAACCATTGTGGAAACTAGTGTGGTTATTTCACAAAGAGCTAGAGTTAGAAATTTCATTTGAGCTAGCTATTTTGTTTCTATTCATCTTCCGCAAACAACTAAATACATATAACAATGATACATGCGTATCAATGTATAACAGCACAACTCATAATGACTAAATCCTAAAAGCAGCCTGCATACCTATCAACAGATGAATAGATAAAGAAATGTGGTATATATACCTAATAGAATACTACTTTGTTATAAAGAGAAGGATGAGTTCAAGACATTTGTAGGAAAGTGAACAACTTTGAAAAATACAATGTTAAGTGAAATAAATCAGATACACAAATTTAATATTACATGGTATGCTCATTTGCACAAGGCAAAGTACAAATAAAGAGCAAAGTAGAAGATTCATAGGAGGAGATGAGACCGATTTTGTGCAAATAGGAAGGCAGCTGGGTGAGTGAAGGCAAAGGGAGAGGGAAGAGGAAGTGGAAACAAAAAGGTTTAAGTTTTGTCATTTACATGTCCCAAATTCCTACCATGGATGTAAACATTATATGTCATAGCATGAACTACAAGTAATGATAACAATTAGAATGATTATGTGGTAAAGTGACTTAGAAATGAATGGAGGGAAGTAGGTGAAAAAGAGAAGTGAATTAAAAAGCAGTCTATGGGGGTCTGGGGATTTAGCTCAGTGGCATAAGCACCTGCCTTGCAAGCAGGCGGTTGTGAGTTCGATCCCCAGTACTGATAAAAATGAAAAAGACAAAAAACAAAAAACAAAAAAAAAAACAATCTATGTTATATAAAGGCACTTAAAATGACTATAACTCCATATACTGCAAGCATGTACTTAAAATAAATATATTTCTGGAGACAAATATGTCTAACATAATTTGAATGTTGTGCAATGTATACAATTATCAAAACATCATACATATATATTCTGACAGAAACATAATAAATTTACTGAAATAATACTTTGGGAAGGAGTAATTAAATTACTTTGCTTATACACAATTACTTAGAGTGAAAATGAGCCATTTTCTGGGTAATGGGCACTCCATTTTTCTAAGGTGGGAAAAGGAACCTAAAAATTTGGCTACTGATTCTGAAGTTAAACTTAATGGATTATTAGTTTATTATTTTATCTCAAAGTTATTTTCCAATACTTTCAGAGTTACATGAGTTCAATTTATTCATTTTTAGTGTTATTTTATTATGTTTTTTGTTTCACTCTGTTTTGGTTCTGGCAATATTTGCCATAGGACACAGAACCTCAAGTATGCTAGTTAACTGGTCTACCATTGAGATACAATCCAAGCTCCTTTGTGCTGGTTATCATATTGAAAGTTAGGAAGATCTATATTGAAAGATTTTTCTATACAGATGAAATCTTTCATTAGGTGTTTAAAAAATAGTTCA